TTTCATAGTTTGATTTAATTTTTATTATCAGAGACTCCCACACTGTAAACTCTATAAAGTAGTTTATTATGAAAACTTTGTTTACTTTTGGGAATTCTGATAGTAAATGTCCAGCTTTGAAATGAGAATTTTATTGGGATAAGTATGTCTGTTTTAAACATTCATTTTCAATTTGTAAATGTGCTCAGATTTTAGTCACATTAAACTCTTCGTTAATGTACTTTGCCTTAAGCACTAACATATTAAATTTCCTCAAACTTTTCAAGTTATTTTCGAGCTTAGACACTTTCACCCGTTTGTATGTAAATATTATCACTCTGCTTTGCCATGTAACTGTGGTTGGCTTTTGCTTCCAGGTCCCACCATCAGTAAATATTGAACTGCTAAATCAATTTTGGCATGTTGAATCTTATTGTTTGCTGTTTTGAACATCGTGAAATTATGAATAGAGTTTAAAAGTATTAAACATAGGTGGATATTTGAGTACTAAAATGGGAACTACAGATTACCGGGTATATGGACTTGTTAGTTACAATGCAAGTCTGCCCAAAGCAAGGTCTCTTTCCCTGGACTAAAAAGTGAAACGGTGTTGATGGAAGAGTTGCAAGAAACATCTGATGCTCTTATTAGCCTTACATACTTGTCCTTGCGATAGAAATGCCACTAGATAGCGGTTGAATTGTGACTTCAATTCAATGCGAACAATTTAGTTCAACACTGCCAGGGAAATACCTGATACTTTGCATGCTCATATTTGATAGTATTCTAAAGTTTTTTTTCATTTTGGATTTTCTGATTCTTTCGCAGCTTCCGAGCTTCGTAACATAATGAATAGACTTTGAAAGTATTAAACATCCAAGCACTAAAATGGCAACCCCAGATTAATATGGACTTTTTATGCATGTTTGTTCAAAGCAAGGTCTTGAGATCTCAACTAGAAGTTGAAACAGTACTGATAAAGTACTGAAGATTTCAAGGACCGTGGATACTCCAAGATCCTACATACTGTAGCTTTATACTGGTGATATAGGTGCTAGCAAATATACCGTTTGACAAAGGACTTGAAACAATTCAATTCAGCACTGCCAGGGAAACAACCACAATTTTACAAAATCTTTCAATAGAAAAACTGGGTATAGCAGAGTGAATGCCGCAACTCCTTGAATAACGTCATACCAAAAATATACTGTGAAATATTTATGAATTAAAAAAAAATTGTCTGGCGGCGAATCAAATTCTTGACAGATGGACATGTTTAGTTAAAATCAAACCCACTCAGTTTTATGTTGAAAAACTTTTATTTTCGATTTACTAAACTGTGTAATGCACAGTGCATTATGGACAATGTGCTTCTTATGTAGCCCTAAAAATCAAATCCACTTTCTATGTATCAGCTCCATGGCAGCCTTCTATGCTCTGGGCTATCTAAATAGGGTTTGGGACCATAATCCATCCCATACCCCTTACTGTTAATATTGCAAATCTCATGCTGATTTTTATACATTAAACTTTATTTTTTGTTCGACCAATCCAATTTTATTGAAAAGCAGTATGTTGATTTTGGGTCTGTTTCAGCCGTTATTTTACATGTTTGGATATTGAAGTCCGTTAAATAACTGACTACTTTTAGACATGTATTTCAGTTATGTGATTGTCTGAACATGCCTAGGACAGCACCATGGGGTTGTTGGAAGAAGAAAAGCTTCTATTTGCTCTCTTCATCTTAAAACTTTCTAAACTGTGCTTTTTGTTTGAATTGGTTAACAGCGTTTCAGATTGCTTCTTCGAGCGAAAGCAGAATTTTCAAATATATAAATATATTTAGTGGCTCGGATATCTGGCATCCCACTTTCACAAATTTTACTTTTCTTATCTTTGTTACAAACGGCTTGTCTGGGGAAGTCTGGCTTCGGTCAAGCAAAATGTTACAGAATAAAACTTGTGGATATTTAAACTCCTCAATAAGTTCCGATTTATGCTACAGTATCCTTGCAGTCATTGCATACAGTTCCACTAACAAAAACAAGGGCAGTAAAAGTGGAGTGATATTCAGGAACACACCACTCTAATCAACCACATAAACCTGTATATATATCAAGTTGGGAACTGAACAAAATAATCTTATATCGATTATTGTAATGTGAATTCAAGAAGGTATTTTAAATCTGACTGTGACGAAACGGTGATGGATGGAATATCAATTTAATTCCTGATGCAAGATTATCTAAAACAAATCAAATACATTCAAAATTAGGTGTATATAAGATGGTTCCATTACATTTGAACCCACGACAATTGCACCTGCATACTATTGCACCTATGAATTTTTTTTGTTTTACGGATATTTGAACCCATACTAACTCCAACCCATGGATTTTAGCACGCGGACACAGGTTGAACCCGCGGATATACACATGGGTTCAAATATATGTGTGTTCAAATGTACGGTCACCATATAAGATATCTAAGTATGTAGACCACTATGTTTCAAATGCTTATAATAGCCAATTTTAAACAAAGATACCAGTATACTAAATTTTTCCTGAGAATTTTTGTATGGATGTATTCAATTTCGAATGTAAATTGGACATTGGTATTCACATTAAATCTCTTTAATATTCAAATATATATGTTTCCATAATGTTATCAAATCACTGATACCTTAATATCTGGTTTCGGCATTACCATATCTGAGATCAGTCAATGTTCAAATCTTTAGAGATTTCTTATGATTGCTTCCTATTTAATATTTTGTCATTTCTTTTGGTGGAATTTCATTCAATTATCACTTGGTCTGTGTGCCTAAATGCAGTGCTCAAAATGAGTAACCTTATGCTATTTTCATAATCTGTGAGACATAATTCTAAAAAGTGAAAGTGCTATGAATGAACTAATGGTATTATAAAAATAGAAATTCACAGTTTGGCAGAGTTTGAAATGAATTTATTTTTTGAGGAATATTTCGAAATCTGGACATTTTCTTTTATGGCTTGAAATCGACTTCAATAAATAACCGGAAAACACCTTTGCAATTTGTGTTTTGTTGACTGGTTTTATAAAAACTATTTATATTATATTGATTGTTCATATAGGAAATTGAAGTTTTCTAGTTTCCAATATGTCCAATATGTTCTTTATATATTCCATATGAAATTTCTTAATTTTGGGTTGCTAATTGGACCTAACACAATATGTTTAGTATCATATTCTGAAGTTGGAGAATGTTTCAGAATGTATTCAATTGGCATTTTTGGAACAAAGAAAAAGATGATATTATATATATATATTTGATAGTTGGTTATAAAATAGCTGTCTATTTCAATGGGGGCTGTTATATGTGAGTCTCAAACTTATTTATATTTATTTGATATTATGTAGCATATTTTTAAATTGGAGGAGACTCAAGATGTAATTTTTGGAAATACTGTTTGTAGTTTCTCATTAAATAGTTACAGTATCTGTCTATGCTAAGTTCATATCTACCTTGGAGTTTCAAAATTAAGAAGCCAAAGACATCCATGTATATTGGAATTGTAGCGTATTACTATATTGAGGAATGCTTTAGCACTGTGATTCTGAAAATTTTGAAGCAGGCCCCTCTTTAGAATTTGTCAAGTCTCTTGATACAAGCACAACAACTCTCTGCGATCTATAAACAATAAAGAAATGTGAATATATAAAATGAGGCAGGCAAGATCCAATCTAACAAATAACCACTGTTTTATAATATATTCATTCGAAATAATTTTTAAAACAGAGTAGCTGGTATTTGATATAAAAATTCCTTTCAATATTATTGTTAATGGTAGTCAGTCACAGTCTGTTACAATGGGGATTGTTCATATGAAAGTTTAAAACTCAACTAGTTTTTATCTATTTGATATTATCTGTGTGTAACATATTTTTTAGCTTGAGAAAGATCAAGACTTTAAAAAAATCCTATTTGAAAGTGTGCTCTGATAGTAGGTTGTCCGTTCAGTTGTCTATTTTAGTATATTTCATTTGTGGTTGTTTATATAACTTAACCATAATATGTATTTAATATTATATGCCATGGCTACTCATCTGGCGGACCGCGGTCCAAATCCAGACCTTTAGAGTATTTGGTTCGGACCGCACCTAATTCTTTATTTTCGCGGATATTTGGTAAAAGTAGGTGAGTATCCCTGTTATATAGCATGTTATTGAAAAGTTTAAAGGCTGGTATAGCCATCAGTGTGCTCTGATCAATGGCAACAAATTTATTATTTCTGTTATTGAAACAGCATATTTGTCTGACACCAATCAGTTCTGCATTCTCGGGAGGAAATAGCGTTTCCTGTGAATCTAGTTTCCGTTGTGTCATGGTATTGACTTTGGCGCATGATGTTTATGAACGGAAACTACCAAAAATGATATGACTAGAGAGTGTGAACGGAATATTTGATATTTTGGGAGTTTTCTGTTATGAACATTGGTTTCGAGTATACAAAGCTTCTTGCTGCCATATGAGCATGCCTTTCAAATTTATTGTCAGTCATTGTACCAAGATATTTCATTTAAGACACTTCAGTTTGCATTTTACCACCAAAAGATCCAAGGAAAGCTTTGCTTATATTTATTTTTTGAGAGAGCATATAAGTCGATTTATAATAATTTACAGTCAATTTATTTGCTCCCATCAAAGCATCCACCTCACTTATTTCATCATTTATGACAATCTGAAGAATATTATTATTCCTAAATTCATTTCATCTTCCAACATCCTTAATTTCAACAAATCCAATAATAATAAACTAATCCTTTACATACCAGGTTCAAGATATATGTACCGGTAATCTTCTGAGCTGAGAAATGATTATATATTCTAGTTTTTATTATTCACATATCTAGAACTTATTTTTTTGATCTTGTGAATGGTCTCTATACAGGTTCTAATAAGGATTAATAAGTTCCATAGGCTTTCCTCTCAATTTTAAATTGGTATCATGCAATATCACAACTTTTATTCATCTTTTCAGTCTGACAGCCATGAAAGCTTGAATGGGATCTTATCGGGAGACTTGCAACAACAACAGACAATAACATCAAGCACAGCTGGAACTACTACTCCTACTGAGTCTGTACCAAAGTCTCCCATGTTACATTCTCCACCTGTCAACGTACCAGGTTTGTGAAAGTAAAAATAAAACTTTTATACCATAAGACAGGGATGGACAAATTACAACCTGCGGGCCGGATCAGGCTCATCGATGTGTTTCATTTGGCCCACTTGTGTCGGCTGAAATTACAGCTATATCTTTTATGAATATGAATTTTCGTTGAAAATTTCAGCAAGATAACGCCGATTGTTACACTGTGCTTTTTATCAATAAACGCCACCCTATTGTTGTAAATACGCTGTTTTTTATTCATAATTTAGTTTTTTTTTCATAATAAAGTTTGATCCTTCGGGGTCTGGGGTCAAGGCAATTACTTACTTCTTTCTGGCGTATTCCGTTGATAAAACGCAGATTTCCAATACTTCTGAATATTGTCCCAAGGAAGTCCCTTGGCAATCGAAACCATGTTATGTGGTAATGAATTCTGTTTTTACTCATTCAGCCAATGTTATTTCTGGCATTCACAGCTGTTCAATGACACCTACTGTGCCAAAGTCTCACATTTACATTCCCCACCTGTCAATATACCAGGTTTTTGCAAAAAAATTAAAAAAAATTGGTACAAAAAAATCAGCACACACGATTGATGCAATATACTACTGATTCCAGATACATGTGATCTTGTATGATACAATTCAATGTAGAAATCATTTGGTTCCAAATAAAATCTTTTATATTTTTAAATTTCACTGCTCATTTTTCTCCAAATATTTTTTTACATATCATAATTGGAGTCAAACTCAAGTCAATGAATTTATGTTATTTCCTCTATGTATGCACTGCCAACAAAAATATTTCTTTTCACAGCATTCAGCAAGCAATGCTCAACACGTGCAATTGATTTTAACATATCTGGTAGTGGATCATCAATTCCAACACCTCCCCTGCATCACCCAAGTGTGGGAGGGGGAATTCCCTCTCCGTTAACAATCTCACCCTCAACGGGACTTCTAAGTCTGTCCCCACTTCCTCCCTCCCCGACACGGAACTTGGGTTTCAGTTCAACGGGAAAACAATGTTTTTCTCCTTCAATGCAAGTGCCTGTTCCAGCGTGTTTGAGACCTGGAAGCCTTAGTCCATCCCCAAGTCCTACAAGAAGAACTTTTGTAACGTAAGATTTTTGATGCTTTTTTTCAAGGTTTTAGGTGGTTTTTTCACATTTTTTGGTGGTTATTTCACGTTTTTCGCACATTTCATGGCTTTTGTAACGTAAGTTATGATTTGGATTGGGTCTTTTCCCGGGATGGTCAAATTTAAACATGGGACACCAACATCCTATCCTAGTTTGATATACTTATGTTAGACTAAATTTTAGTTAGGTGTTATAAAGCTACACACGTGAAAACTAGTTTTGATTAAAAATGTTGTGAAATGTGTTTAAAGGCTTGTATTACTCGAAATGCAATGTAGGGTATTTTTTTTAAATATTACATATCAAAATAATATATTGATCTGTTTAAACAAGGTAACCAGGCCTGGACCTAATATAACGATTGTGCACAGTCAATGTGACTTTTTCTCAATTGAATACTAGGAAATTTTATCCTACTATGACTAGAAATAGGACTAATGAAAATTTATTGTTTCATAAAGCCAAAATTTTGCCAATTTTGTCATGGAGTTTTCCAATTTTATTTCGTATTATACAACCATAATTCTATATAGGTAGATTCAGTAGTTCTTGACATTCATGGACCATGCATGCAACTTTGCTCACAGATGAGTCTTGTTCACTTTTGAGTTTATGCGTGTGACTTTGCTCTAAGTAAACACTCTTTAAAAAATACTCTTATTTTTTTTTAAATCAGTCGAAGGAGAAGTCAGAGTCCCTGCATCGTGAAACCAAGTGCTCTCGGCCCCATCAAACGAAAATGTGAGTATACTGCGTTATCAATTACTCGAATTTTTATAACCTCCAAATAACGGAATATATAAAAAAACAATAGTCATGACTCATGAATGATTTAAAGCATTGATTTCCACCTTGTTTTCACTTTTACATTTTGTATTGATTCGATCTTTTTGAAAGAATTTCATTGATTTTTTTTTTGGCACAGAATTTGTAAATAAATTAGGACTAAAAAGATAAATAATGGGGGATGGATAATGTATTATTGGCACCAGGGAAAATGTGTGTTTATGCTGTGTAATACTAATGATAGTGTATTAATGTACCAGTTGCCTAGTGATTAATGTTTCAGTCAGCTTAATAGTTTTTTTTTTCAAGTTTAAGGTTAGGCCATAATTTTGTTCCGAATTTCCTTATTTTAGTTCTATTACAAGTTCGGGGATTGTCTGCAAATGTCCATAGGTTTCAGTCCCTTCACACAACTTGATGTAAAGTAGGCAAACAAAATTAGTTACCGTACCTCCATATTGGTTCATAGGGTGCACCACATTTCCCAAAGGGTGCTGTGATAATGAATGCAATCTTAAAATTAAATGAAAGTGTCGAATGATAAAAGATCTTATTATCTTTAAGTAATTCAAATATATATTTTAACAAATTTGTCACATTTGGCATTTTTTATTTTCATTTGGGTTTGTCAAACGTGACAAATGATTTGAAAAATATTGCAATTTTTTAAAATATTGAAAATTATCTATTAATATTGTGATCGCATTTGTTTAATCGAAATTTTGAAACTATATTCAGATGATTCAGATTCAGAGGGAAGTTGTTCTCCTAAACGTATGTTCATCCCGGGATCCCAAACTGCTGGTCCAGGAGGAGGGGGCGTGGCAGGGGCCGGACATAATCAAAATACTGATGCCACATTACCTGTGGTTGTGACTCCGTTCTTCCCGAGAGCAAGTATACATAGATCTCATAGGTAAGTGCTTATTTCATAATAATTTTCAACAATTTCTGGACGCAAAGTTACACGATTACTTATGGAAATAGTTAATTCATTCATAAACTAAAAAACATTGAATTGGTTTATGCCAAAGCAAATAATAGAACACCATGAATTCAACAGCGAAATTCATTCATCTTAAACAGTAGAGGGCAATTACTTTACTGATTGGGCCAGTTACATATAATTGGCTTGATCACTGGGCAGGAAGTTTGAAACTTCATATGAAAACTATGAAGAGTTTATTAACCACCGCTAACATTAGTATAATAATAAGATAATGTAACAATATTTTCAGGAATATTTTAAGGTTAATTTAAATCCATGAAAACTCTAATTTCAGCAAACACGAGTTGGTCGGAATAAACACTTTGGTGGGCCGGATCCGGCTCGCAGGCCATGATTTGACAACTCCTGATCTTAAACCACAAACTAGTTATAAACATTCTCGTAATGAAATTTGTTATCTTTTCTCACTTCTGGGATAACTGAAAAATCATAACTGTTTTTCAAATGTCTCGCCTTATTAGGAGTTGATATATACTTTATATGTGATTGCCTTTTCTATTTTTTAGCAAGTTCAAGATTCCAATTTGTGCTAGTATTCCTTGCTCATCTCTAAAGGGCTTGAAATCCTAGCCTACTTTCAACTCTTGATATTATTCAATCAACTTGTTCTTTAGGAGTTCATGCACTTTGTATATGATCACGTTTTCTCGACTTTGTACTTCCAAGTTGTGCTAGGGTTCTTTGCTCATCCCAAAATGGGTTAACATGTCAAGAACACATGCGAACTGAACTCTTTTTACAAACTAATTGAAAGTTATTTTTTCTTAATCGGAGGAAAAGTAGGTTATTTTCAAACTAAATGTATAAAATATACTTTATCCTAATTTTCACAGCCTCTCATCCAGTTCAGTGGACAGTGATTTGAACGTTTCGCCCAGCCCCCCACAAAACGGGGTCACTATGGGTTTTCTGCCGTCAAACCATCCTTTAAGTGTCAACATCAGTTCAACACGCGATGGCAGTAGTGGGTCACCGTTCCAGTTACCGCTTCATGCGAATCCATTTTTGAACACTGTTGGCATTCAAGATTCTCTGCGTTGCTCCTCCCCAGCCAGTTCCACCTGTTCTTCTTCGTCACTAGAGGGCCTGAGAGATCTACAAACGTATCCGCAAAGTCATCTTGCTCTCCCTTCTATAAGTAATATGTCAACTCTTGTAAAACCACCTATTAAGGTTAGTACAAATACCTTTACCTGCATCAGGGATATCTAAAACTGATGGATTTTTCGAGTACTGTACATTCGAAATGGGTTTTATGCGATATAGTAAATTCTTGATTCATGAATATTTTTATTCCTAATTATTCATTTTGAGCATTTGACATCTTACGGCCAGACAGAGAAAAAATAGACGTCGGACAATGTAAAAATAGAAAAAAAATGACATGTACGAAGTAAAAAGTAGTTTTTAACGTGATTTTGCAAAGCAATTAGTTTGAAGTTATCTCACTCTTTGTATCTCACAAATCACATCTTTATATTTCATATTTTTTTGATAAGCTTTTATTTTTTTTAGGAACGTCAACCTCCTCCTACACTACCAACCCCTTCATCAACTGCTAATCTAACATTATGACATCACAACATTTTTTAGTTTTATCTTCCCTATGTCAAAGGTCAGTAAGCAATGTTAGTATTTGTAAGTAGAAATGTTGTTTAAGTACTGGTAACACTGTTTGCATTATTCTGTGTAGCGTCACACGTTTCCTCATGATTTATTCAGTCAGTCAGTTTTATTTAGGATATTCATATTAATCCCAGGGAGATGAAAATGGCGGACCATGGCCTCTCAGTTGGTTAACAGTTGATGGGTTTTGGAATAGTCAGCCAGTTATTTGTTTCAGATGCATGGACTTGATATTGGAAGGAGCCGTACCCGATCAGTGGTTATGCGAACCAACCCTACGACAGCAAGGAGTCCAGCACTCTTCTCGCACATAATAATCTCCCCACAGGATTCTAACCTGTGAACCCCCTTAAGGCAAATGTATTCCTAATGCATGGAAGGATGCGCATTACATTACCTACATACTGAATATACAATACCTGTTGTACATACAGAGTGAAGACAAATGAAAATAAAATGCATTTCATCATGAAGGGAGACGCAATAAACAAGTGATAGTTCTTGAGCAGCCTCACCTTAATATGATTTATTGTTTTGTCTTTGTTTCAACTTCTGATCCGTGAAAGCAGCATAGTAACTGCTAGTTAAGGGTTTTAATACAAAATGACGAATGTTGAAAGTTTGGAAGAACTTCATTTCTGATAATTAATCACAGAGAATTGAATGCTTTTATAGTTGGTTTTCAAATCAAAGTTTGAAGCGATATTTCAATAAAAAGTTGAAAATTATAAATATATTTTCCTCATTTTCCCAAACAGTATTTTTGTTCTCAAGTTTTGCCATTTTGGATTGAAGCCCTCAGATCCATAAATACCTGGTTAAATTTTGGGTACTCCCGTAGTGTGTGTACCAGGTTAGGGTTAGGTCATACTGTTATTCTGATTTTCCCTATTTTGGTTTGATTATGAGTTCGGGACTGTCTGTGTTAGCCTCCCTGCTAACAAAATTAGTTACCGGTACCTCAATATTAGTACACACTCTTCTGGAGCGCCAAATTTTGTGTGTTTAAGTACTTTTTCTCTGGACTCCCTGGTACTGGTCGATTAGCTAAATAATGAAATCTTTTATTTCATTTTAGATTACTCCTACGAGAATCAACCAAGAAACCTGAATCAGCACCATGTAATGTCACAGAATAATCTGGTGCCACAGCATCTTTGAACATTGAACGGCATTGTGTATTTCAAAGTGTACATGGTAATTTTCAGAGAACAAGACAATAACTAGTTGCCAGAAGTGTTATCTTCTCCTGGAAGCTGGGATATACATTCACTGTCAGTATTTGGTATCTGTAGTCCATGCATCTGAGGCAAATAACTGATTAACTAATCCCATTCCTTACATGGACTAGTAACCAGACATCTGTCAAGAATTTGTTTGTGGCTCCTATAAGATGTCAGCGCTTTCATTTGATGCCATGATCAGTATTTAGTATTGGTTACGTACCTTATGTGGGCTATCAAGGATTTGTTTGTGGCTCTCCTAAGATGCCACTAACTTCATTTGATGCCTCTGTCAGTGATTAGTCTATGTTAAGTACTTCACTAAGTCCTGCCACTGACTTCGTTTGATGGCATGGTCAGTATGTAGTATATGTTAAGTACCTTCTGTTGGCTATCAAGGATTTGTTTGTGGCCCTCCTAAGATGCCACTAACTTCATTTGATGCCACAGTCAGTATTTAGTTTATGTTAAGTACTTCACCAAGTACTGCCACAGACTTCTTTTGATGGCACGGTCAGTATGTAGTATATGTTAAGTACTTTCTGTGAGAAGTCAAGGATTTGTTTGTGAGTACTTTGAAGTGCCACCGATTTCATTTAATGCCATGATACATTGTAGTCACGTTATCGAGGCAACAGTTTTATATCTATGGAGAGACTATTTTGAACCAGACTTGACAGATTCAAATTTGATTGAATTGTACAATACTACTGTGGAAAGGTTTATTTGCTTTTAATTCCGGTGAAAAGGGTTACAAATTTTTTCAGGGTGTAGCCCAAAGACTTATCTCCTATATATACTTGAATGGTAAAACCCAAAGATAGACTGAAATTGCGTTTTAACATCAAATTGATAACTGGTAAAAAGGGGTACATGTTGCATAAACCACACTGAGACAGCGAGAAGTCCTGTAATATTTTCTTATACGTGAGAATCCTGTATAGAGGGGGTGCGCAGCAGACTATTTAGTGTGGCCCTCATCAAAACTGAGTTTTTTTCCTCCATCAAGTTTAAAATCTTAATTTGACAGTTTATGTTTAAAAAGGCGCTCACATTGATAAAAAAAATACATAAATATTTTCATTATATTTTCTTACTAGAAAGAGAAGCGATAGCTGCATTCTCCTGTCTTTGCTGTTACCCTATGGTTGTTGCTAAATTTTTTATTCGTTTCGCACGTGGAAAAACTGTTTTTTTTTGTGTGGCCCAGTTAGATGTCTCACCAACAAAAAATGCTGCACACCCCTACTCTAGAGATATTGTACCTGCTAACCCACACTACTATATAGTGCTGGAGCAGTAGAGTTATTAATGCTTGGAATGATATGCCAACGATTAAGCCATTTTTGAAATCTTAAAATCTGGGGCTCTAGGGCAGTGGTTCCAAACCTTTTATGGCTCCTGGCCCAACTTCAGGAGGCTTTTAGCACGTATGCATACTCTACCTATTTGTCGTTGATTACAGTAGTATTTATAGTGTTATGTTCAAACAATTCATGCTCAACAAGATGAACAGACCTTCTGAAATAACCTTGTCAGGCAATGAAACTAGAAAGAATGGGAAGTAAAGGGAAATGTAAAATCAGTTTTGCGACTAGCATTTTGGTCCCCTCCAACTGCTCTGTGCCCTCTTGGTGGGCCATGGGCCCCCACTTTGGCAACCGCTACTTTAGGGTTTCCTATTTGCTGGGTTACCAGTAACACTATGATGCTCAATTTTGCTTTCAACTGAATATTTTTCGCATTCTATTTCTTTATATTTTTACTTTAATTTTCTAAAGTTCCTTTTCGTCATTTCAAAATATTTTTGGGGAGAGATTTTTCTTCTGTTTTCAGTATTTGGAAACAGTTGGTGGATGTAATGATCATAATTGGTCATGATATATATTAAGGATGTCCATTCCATAAACAAAAACTTTCAATTTGTTTTCGAAATCTATTCAGCATTTAATGGCTAATCCATTTTTTTCCAAAACTCCAGTCAAAAACATCTGCTAAACTAACTCTATTAAAATGTCCTTCAAGTTGATTTGATCATGATAATGAGATCTCAGTGGCATTCCAACTTGTTAGGCAATCTGCAATACAATAAATAGTCCAGATATTTTTCCAAAACTTCAGCAGCAGGTGGAATTCACAATGTTCAACTGCTACGCCAACTCTATTGAAATGATGTCCTTCAAGTCACACACAATTATTTTGATCATGTATGATGACATCTCAATGGCTTTCCAACATTTTAGTTCAGCAATACATTACCTAGTTCAAATATTTTTCCAAAACTTCTGTATTGAATTCACTAATGTTCAAATTTCACACCCCACTGATCTTCTATGAGTCTTACGTAGAATGTTTTTGGCCGTAGTTTGAAATGAGTGTCCTGTAACTTTGGCATTTCAATAAAGTTCTGGTGATCTTCTTTGACTATTAATTGTAATGATCGAATTAGCTTGTTAAAACATCCAACTTCGCATAAACAATTTTCTTGTTTCTACAGTCCTTGGCGGTTGGTAATAAAACTAAAATTTTCCATTGAATTCAAAAAGTTGAATATGTTAATTAGACTTACAAAATTACCCCAATTTGACATCACATATTAATTATGTGGCGTTCCAGGAGTGTGTGTACCATTATGGAGGTAACTAATTTTGTTCGCCTACTTCACATCAAGTTCTTTAAAGGGACGGAAGCCTGTGGGCAGGGGGTATATTCACTCGGCTAACACAGACAGTCCCGAACACGTAGTAGAACTAAAGCAAGGAGAATCGGTATAAAATTATGCCCTAACCAGGTACACACACTGTAGGAGTACCGATTATTCAATGATTCATTATTTAAATGTATTTTCTGGAAACTCAAAAAACTTGGCATGGACATCCTTAACACCACGAATAATGCACTGTGACTTTCTCCCCACTGTGTGTTATCTATTACTTTAGCAGTAAAAGTTTTTTTTGATTTTTTTTTCAATTCAAGAACCAATTTGTTCTGACAAATTGAGGTATAGCATAAGGGAAAGCTCCATAATATGTTCTAACAGGTATGTATTCCTGATGTCCCCTTGTTTCTATTTTTCACAGATTTACCATTAACAAAGCTCCAAACAAAAAAGTCGGCTACAACAATCAATGAATATAATCAACTAACCAAACCTGTTCATCTTAAGATATGTATAGAGTGTAGTTTTAAATTTTGAACCGGAGGTTTTTAACCTGTAAAACTAACATGGCCATTGCGGACATCATGATCACCTGATCTCTTAACCACTAGAAATAATCTCACCAAGATAATCGAATACCTGGACTTATGCAATGCAATTACTCCGTTTTAAGAGGCTAGTCATAATGGCTCTGTTGCTTGATTAAAATAAAAAAGATTAACAGTTTAACTTGATTTTTTCTTGGAGTTTTTAAGAGTTTTGTATGCTTTAACATGATCAAAAGTCAAGCTTAAAGTTCTATCTCTTACAAAACACTGAATAACACCATAATATGCTTATTATAGTTTAGAACGAGGGTATGTTCTTTCGCTTTTTGCAAATTCCGATCACTGATGAAGAAATCTGATTTTTGATGAATGTTCTTGTTTTGCTATATTAATCCAAGCATTGGGTTGTTCATTATCATATTAAATTTATCAAAATATTTTTTCAACTGATTTTCTAAGCTTAAGATGTTATTTGTGTGTTTGCTATTTTATCTTTGCTTGTGGTCGCGGATTGAAATGCCAGGTTATCTTATGTCAACAGATTCAAAAGCAATATAGGGTGTCCATGAAGTCTTAAAATTGCAAATGAAATTTATCGATACTATATATTGTCTTGGTGTGAACTCACAGATGTAGTCTATTGAATGAAGTAAAAATTCTTAAACAACTACAGAATAAACAAGAGAGCTATGCTCAAATATATGGACACGTAGCGCCACCCAATGGCAATAATTTTGATGACGTCATAGCGAAAAAAAAGTAATAGCCTTCTGGAGAAAAATTTTATCTTCAACCACTGAAAATTTCAAAGCAATTGGTCCAGTATTCGAAGAGAAAAGCGACTTTTTAAAAACGTGTCAAAGAACAAGAACAACAACAAGGACAACAAGAACAAGAACAACAACAACATAATATTGAAACGATCGTTATGTCCACTACGTGTCCAAAAACAACAAACCTGTTCAAGATGTGTATTGAAAATTGACATAACAAAATTTAAATTGTCGAGAGACTTTATGGACCTGTATATATGAAAAAGGTGTCGTGTTGGAATAATCAAATTAATATTAATTCGAGAAACGTATTTGTCCCAGGTTAGGGTTAGACTATAATTAAAGGTACAAATACTACAGGAGTCACTTGGCTAGTCCCCGAACTTGTAATAGAACTAAAATAAGGAAAATTGAAATAAAATCATGGCCTAACCCTAATCTGGTACACATACTGCGTTCCGGTGTCCGCTGTCTTGGTTCACATACATCAGGGGTACCTTTATTTTTATTAAAAATATCATGATATCAAACTGATTTGAATAGGATTAAACAAACAAATGGGTGGATTTCAATTTTTTAACAGAAAAGGCTCAACTTTGTATTTTTTCAGTTTTTTCGAGTCACTGCTCATTTTGATTAAAAGGTGATTAATTGATGATTAGTTTATTGTGCGAAATAGCAATTCGCACTTCTGTACTTTCATTTAAATTTCTGCTGTTTTACGCCTATTATTGAGCTGAATTTATATTTTTTCCAGTTATCAAGTCTGTCAAATATTATATATTTTAGGGCAATTCGCTACTTTTTTAAGAGAGACGAGATTTAGGGATTTGTACAAATTTTTAAATTACCTGATGCTTAGAGATGATCCTTCGTTATTTCTTAGTGAGTGCAAAAAACAGGGGAAAACTCATTCAGTTTTTGTAAGCGCCTGGTAGAACTCCGACTACACAACTCTTATTCCTTGTTTTCTCTGTTTAGAATAAAATTTGTTATGCTGATTTATTTTCGTTGGTTAAAAAGCTTCAGTATTCTCTGAAAGATCAACGTTTCATGCTTTTTGTTTTTGACATTTAGGACATTTCATTCTCACATTCATGTACTATATTCTTAAGCAACAAGAGTATCGTTTGGACAATTAACTCGGGTTTACTTTGCTTGCTTGGCTATAGTTTCCGATCTGTGATAAATAGTATATCAGTGTCTCTACCCCTTAGTTAATCAGGGATGCTGGAATGATATACTTAACTGGCCACAGTTGGACATTTTTTCATGTCAATCCCATTGATAAAATAAAATACTCTTGTGAATGATAAAAAATGATACCTATAAGGCTCATCCGCGCTTCATCATCAAGTACTTGCATCTGAAATAAATAACCGGCCAACTAAGTCCATATCTGACATGGACTGGAAATGGACGAGAGGCCGTGGCTTGCCATACTCCAGAGGAATGAATATGTAAATCCTATCCCGTTCCAAAGCGAGTAAAGCCTGGGTCTTACATATAGAGGATTCGTTTCAATCTTGCATTTTTTTACTTTCCCCCAAGTGCTTGTGTACCTTCATTTCAAATATTTCAGCTTTTTCGCATTTTTGATTGAATCTCGTTGATGGTGCTTATGATATATAGCATACTCTTGTTATTATTATGAATTGCGCTCGTTTCGTTCTTTTGTTTCCTTTCAATTTTGTGATGAGATAATTAAAATCTATGGAAATTAAGTTTGTTTAAGGGCTAGAAGGTTGGCTCGTCGGTGTGGCGCATCGCCCTAATCGTTAAGATTACGCTTGCATTACCCTGGGTGGGTTCGAGAAGGGAATTATGTGCGAATGGATTGCTGGACTCCTCGCCACTGTAAGGTGATTCACACCTGTCGGTTACGGCTTCCTCCACTATCCAGTCGATGCATCCGATAACAAATAACTGGCTAACTAATCCCATACCCGACATGGACTGATAATCAGGCGAGGGGCAGTGGTTCACCATATGATTAAGCCGAATTATAGGCTTTCCTTTCCCCCGGGATAAATATGTAAATACTATTCTATGAAACTGAAAGTAGGTTTGGCGGCCGTCCTTGCGGCGCTAGTTACACAGCAGATTGAAATCCTACTAATAATGGTAATTGGCGTCAGTGTTGTGAGATTATAACAAAGTTGAAATAGTAGCAAGTGTTGATATGTCGCAGTTTCGCTTTTTCTTCAAACCCTGCACCACGTATTTGGATCGTTTAGTTTGTGAGCTATTCATATGATCGATTCTGTCGAGAGGAGTAGAAATGCGGATATAACGGTTTTTCTGAAAATCGTACAAGTAACAAATAATTCAGTCTAGCTTGATTTATTTGTGCACTTCCTGATGCTCTCTTTTATGGTCTGTTAACAATTAGATGCTCAATCCACTGTTACGCAATCAATTACAACTCCTCCACAGCAATTTTGAGTCCCGTTTTGGCTGTTCAATTGCCTTTACGTACCTATTCGTGGCTTCCTTTCTCTAGCATAAGCGCGTTTATCACAATTTATTGAAATACAATTTTATGTTATCGTGGCGTTGATTTAAAAAAATATACAACATATATAACATAACGAAGCTAGGAATGCATGCATGCTTTAATACTTTCGTTTTGATTCCTAGACTGAGATGACATGACGGTTTGACAATTTTGAAAGGTAGTTACGACTAGCAGTATATATGCAGTATGTATGCATTACGACTATATATATGTCATTTTTGAAATTTTCAAATGTAGATTCCATTTGTATTGGAAGAAGCGCTTTTACATACAATTATGCAGTCATATAACTCTTTTTTCCAACCCTACGAGTTCAAGAGTATATCAAGAATGGCCAAACCAAGCAACATGCATCGTTCGCATCTTTGACTGATAAATGCTGTCTTATTTCGCCAAGAAGTCTATGCTCGCATTCACTTTAGTCCCGGTGACGACATCAAGACAATGCACTTTGATTTCCGTGTCTCCGTACATCATAGAAATTTGCAGTTCTCGTTTTGATGATTTTCGATTCGCAGATGACGTCATTCCTGCTGATGTCGTCACAGGTAGATGCACACGTAACGTAGCACATTTTCTTACTCCTTCTTCGTCAATGAATTTTACATCCGACCTTTCGCATGAATAAAGATTTATGACGACAGTGTTTTGGTCGCGTCGTACTGGGGCGTAGCTCCTCTGTAAACAAAGTTGAAGATTTATGACCAGTCGTCATAAAAACTAGGAGCGAAAGTCCCAAATAGGAGTAAGCAGTAGTTTATTTAATTATCATGTTGAAAATACACATTGTACATACACAATGAAGGAAAAAAAATGGCCGATTTTCATGGCAACAAGTTCATGACAAAGTGTTTCCAGTTAATAGCAGAAACGTTGCCAAATTGGGCTTGGCAAATTTGTTCCAATATGACGAAAAAAGAGGGCGAGATACAAGCAACCACATATACCTAAGCTTTCCGCAGACTTACTTCGCATCGGAAACAAGTAGTTTGATAAATAAAAAAATTCTATTATCATTCTCGACATGGATTGTTAACCACGGAGAGGCATTGTTCGCTGTATGATTAGTACGTTTATCGTCTATACCAGTGGTCGGCAACCTTTTTCAAGTGACGGACCGGTAAAGCATGGCCAAAATTTTGACGGACCACTTTTATACAAACGAACTAAGCATTGTATGAAGCATGGTAAATATCGCCATATGCTGTGATTTTCAAACCGCGAAACACTTTTTATATCATGAATTTTTCGCGGAACACCAAACGAAAATTTCCAATTTCGTGAAAACTATCCGAATAAGCAATAACCACTGTCAGGTTTCGCGTAGGAATGAAATTACCACAAGACCAATGACTCAAGTTGTAAGAAGAATTAACAAACTCATTACTTCAGAGAACAAAAGTACACTGAAGTACCAAGGAGAAATATTTAAAACTGGCTTTTCGTAGCCGTTAATAGCAATGCAATTTTAATATGATATATGAACTTGTTCAGATGAGCACGCATCGTATATTTTGGTCTGAATTAGGGAAAGGCAAACACGTAGTTCTCCTTCAGCGGTCGTCTTTCTGGCGTCAAAAATCCTACTTAAATGAATTTATTGCTTCTTTAAAGGGATTCTACGAGTCGGGTTTGCAAACTGTTTTAAATTTTCTAGCTTTAAGCAACTTTTATAATTTACATTACGAAAACGAGTCAATGTTCCTGAACATGAGTAAAAATGGGGTCTGAGCAATGATTAAATTCAAATTGTTACGTTTCCGTTTACATTTAGCTATTTAGTCATTGCTTCAACTTTCGGAAATCCCTGCAAACATTTATCACAAGAAACAAAATCTTCTTGAAAACTGTGTCATAAAAAAATACCAAAATATCAAAAAGAATTTGAAGACAACAACACGGAACACCAGCTTTCAGTCGTAGGGTTTGTAGATATTAGATTGTATATATATATATATGGTTTCAGGGCCTTGTTTGTTTTTAGGTCACCTTTCTGCGGACCGGTAGTAAACTTTCCGCGGACCGGTGATGGGCCGCGGCCCGGTGGTTGCCGACCACTGGTCTATACAATGTACATCAGCAAGAAAACTCTTTGTTTAAACCAAACTCTAAACATTGATTCAGATAAAAAAAAAACTACATTAGCTTTACAAACCTGTACAACATCTCCGAGTCCGACCATGCTCCCTGCAATGACATAAGCATCAAATATATCTGTGCACCAGACATGGCCATCTCTGATCAATCTTTTATGAGCGGGATGTTTTGATGCGTCGAATGCATTCAGAATTCCTGCAACGATAGATTGAATTATTACAATCAGAAATATTCATTCCACTTCTAATTTTATCGACGCTTTTTCCATCGCCAATTTGAACAATGGTATAAAAAACCACTGATAATAAGGAGTAACTAAAGAGCTACCATTTTTGTGAAGACCGACATCTCGTCCGTTTTTGATTGACTACCCAATATACAAGGTGTCTAAAAAGGTATTTTACAATTTCCATTTTGTTATGAAGTCAGTTCTCAATATACTTTAATAAACCTTGTTTTTTGAACAGTAATTTTCCAAGTATTCCTAATTCATAATATATCTGTGAGCACCGAAACAATATATGGTAACGATAAATTCCTTTTGCAATTTTAAATTTTTTTTAGGACTTTATGGACACCCTATATTACAATCTGTGCGATATGGCAAGCATGGAGCATTAACCGGAGAAAACATCATTGTATGGGCAAATACTTAGGGCTATATTAGAATTGCGGGTTTAAGATTTAGGGTTCCAATCCAACTCTTGACCAAGTCATAGGGTAACCCATGCCTACATTTACACCCACGAGTCGATTTCTATAATAATAATATATATTATATATACCAGTAATGCCAGCGTTTTTCAATAATTTTTGGAAGAGTCCTGGCCTACCATAGGAAGGAAACGCAAAACTAAATTCGAACCAAGATTTTCAAGTTCAACTTTGCCAGCGGATAATTAGACACTTTTATTTTATTGTTTATATTATTTATAAAAACCTCAACCTCAAATATTTTGAGTTTCGTGGGCTCAGGATATTGTTGAAGCTGAAAATGAACCACAAGAGAATAATAGTTGAGAACCACTGCTCTAAGCTCCTGAATATCTACACTTACCAACGCCATACGTCATTTGACTCGTTCGCATGCGCACTGTAGTCGGATCCAAACCGAAAAGAACCGCTCCCTTTAATATTGTAAGGCTGACGTCATTGGGTATTATAACGCGAACTCTGTCGCCAACAGCATTACGTAACTGTTGCTGTAGCAACGGAGACTCGGCGAAACCTCCCACTAAGAACAAGTGTGAGATTCTTGAATCGATTTGTGATGCTACGTGGTTCACGATGGCATCTAACGTTGGTTGAAATAGTCTTCTCATAAGAGCTGGTGTGATACGAAGCATTCCCTGTCGAATAAAAGATGCATTTGAGAACGACGTTTTACACGTTTCACTCTGAACGAGGTTCTATGCAAGAAGCCATGGTATGTAATACTTTGGGCTGGGAATTTCGTCCAAGATTGGCGACTCTCACTGACGGTTAACCATACAAATTTGATCAGTTAACCGCTGTTGGTTTTAATGTCGATGTACGAAACATATTTCCTCAATTTATCCATAGTTGTCTTACTATAATGATTTTGAAAGCGTTTTAGGTACTCGTTTCCGATATTTTCAAAAATAATCAAGTTTGTCTGCATGACCGTTTTTGACTGGGGAGTTTTTTAGTTGAACCAAATATTTCAAGTTCCAAAATTTGTGAAAGCATAAACATGCAATTAATACCAAATGTAGTGAATTCCGGAGGTGGTTGATAACATTCACCTGCTTTCGGCTACAATCCGAGGAAAGAATGAAAATTGTAGTTAGTGATAAAAGGGAGGTAAACAGTAACATAAGGAAGATTTTTCACAGATTATTCTCGTTTTTACCTGTGACGACCATTTAACATTGGGATCGTTATACTTCTTGACAACTTCGTCTACAGATGCCTGCTTTAGTTTCCGATGCAAATCAATGAAAGAAAAAGGTAAAGAAATATTTAACGAGCAATTCTTGCTTGGACTGGCTGATCGTTTCCTCGACTCCCATGCAACGAATAGATCAACCTGTTATAAATAGTTTTAAAAATTGTCATTATCATGCCGTTCTAAAATCAAACTGGGGTGTAACCCGGCTTGCAGGTCATGTGTATTTTCTTAGCTGACAGCTAACGATCCGCAGAACTATACATTTTGGCTAGTCCACTCTTCTCGAAGTTCTATATATATAATATAAATTCTATGTAAAGTTGAATTCTCTAAAAGTTATCACATGGAGAAAAAGGTTTCAGTCAACCTAAAAATACTTCATTGTGCAAATTACCTACATTTTGCTCTGAGCTTTTGTCAATTTGTCTACGGGAATTCAAGCCGTTGTAACTTTGAGTTACTCTATGCCTAGACTTGGAGAGGATCACTTGTCGAAATTCGTACTGGAGCTTTTCAAAATACTAAAAAAAGTTCATAAAATACTTACTGCTCCTGCTGGTCGTTTTCTTCTAAACTCTTCAATAAAATCATCGCCAAAAATGTCTCTCAATAATCGTTCAAATTCTGCGTCAACAGCAACGCTTCCCATAGCTCCACCACTTGCAGCACGGACTTCCTAAAGAAATATCTCAACTTAAGACAAGCCTTTGCTTTAAATTACTGCCAGCTAGTAATGATAACGTATTTTGTGAGTTATTATAACGGACACCCATCTTTGATTTGTAAAAAGAGCATTTTTTATATTACACATAGCAATTTTTTGAGGCATGAAACGCTTTTTAGACTCTCAAGACTTTTGAAGCTTTGAACCTGCTAGCTGTTAGAGTCTGACTTGGCAATTAGAAATTTCAGAACCCCACTTTGAAAATTCCTGGCATATGTTTTGTCTATTTGTAAAACAGCGTGCCATTATCGAAAAGTAGAGCATATTTAAATTAACAATGTGGGATTCACAAACAACCAAGCGCTAAGAGCTTCAAACAAAGGTAATAATCAAGCTGTTCTCAAAGTAATAGTCGCAATAATCAACGAAACCGTCCGTTTTTTTTCAGTTTGACATGGTTTTCTGAATCTAGGAAATCTGGTTGAAAGTTTATTGGATCAAGTAGAGTTTCATTTAAAAACCTGAGCGTAACAAAATCCATTTAATGGGTTATAACTCGCTGATACTCGATACGATTTATCACATTGAAGTTTACCAAACTAAATACCTGTAAAATAACATTTAAAATACCCGATATTTTTATATTACCTGAAGAGTTTTGCTTCCAACAATCATGTGTACTGTGACGTCAACAGTGCCTCCCCCACAATCGACAACCATATACTGACATCCCGATTTTAGAGATTCCTGTATTGTGAGATCATCAGGTGACGTAGTTTGTAATTGAGTGTTACGTAACTTCCGACAATATATTGACGCCGCTTCCGGTTCTAACGCTATAACTAGTTGACTCGGATTATCCTCGCTTGCAAGTCCAGCCTGAATAATTAACAAATCATATTATAATATATACAGTCCTTCCATCTGGAGCAATTAAATGGTAATTTGTAAGTTGTCTCAATGATCAGATGCGAAATTATGATTAGAACCAATGATTAAGTAAATAATATGTTTAGAACTATACATGGGTAGTGGAAACCTGATTAGACGTTTACTTCTTATGGCGGGCTGTAGTTAGTCGTCCGACTATGACCCCCAGTTCATGACGGGCATGGGAATAGCTAACTAGTTGTTTTACTGTTGCGTATTTTTGGAATTGGATAAATATGAACAGCATTGAAAAAGCTCCTATTTCATAGACTCTCATTCTCTATGTGAAAAATTTTAGTATTTGCCCAATTACTCCAAGAGATGATGAGAAACATCAAGCTCGCTGTTTCTCCCATATTTATCAGTAATTAGCAAGAAGAATAAATGGTAATTTATCTGCGGTAATTTATCTGCGACTGCGGCATATTTGCGCTAACATTGCGAGCTGCAGATCTTAGGTTTACGTGCCGTTAAGTAAGTGTTTAGTCGATATCTTAAATCCGAGTCGGGAAGCAAATAAACATTATAATTTTTCAGCACAGAACGGTTACAGTTTGTTTGGTTAGTAGAACCTAGCCATAAATATATACGCACAGTATTTAACTGCTTGCCTATTGCCTCTTCGAAGAGCAGTGGTGTTCAAAACGACCAATGTGACATGACGAAATACGTAACGTAAAAGATACCTGATATGTCGGAAGAGTTACAGTTCAATTACAATTAGTCATGATATAGCAACTAATGTATATTCATCTCTGATGCATAGTGATACAATGAAAACCCAAATACGCTAGGCGGCCAAATTAAAACAAGATACCTGATATGCTGCTTCTCTCATGAATTGTTTTGCTTGAGGGCGCCAGATAGCTGGGACTGTCACGACCCACCTGACATCGCTAGTGCGCATGCGCGTACCGAGTTCATCGGAGAGTTCCTACAGTGAGTAAAAAACATAAAAATATTAACAAACATCAATTGCAACCATTCTATTTTTTCATACTGAATATTGTATCCCACCAAATTCGTTCGTCATCTTGTGATCGTGAGAAATCTACAATTACATACAAGTTCCCTCCCCCCCCCCACAATTTTGAACTGGCTACGCTCTTGTCTATTCTCACCTGTAATGCGTGTTGTCTGAAGAATCTCAGCGCGTGGGCAAAGACTTGAATTGCTGGCATCGTTTTCTGATTTGCTGCAACGAGTTGAGTTGTTTTGCTCAGTTTCTGAAAAAATTACAACTTGGTTTGGTTTTACAAATTGGTCCCAAATTTTGCGATATCTGTGACGTTTGCAAAATAATATATTTTTATAAAACGGACGTGCCCTCCTTCGAAATTATAATTACGATAGAAGAGTTGCAAGCACTATGATTGTCTAATTCGTAAGTCAGTTCTTACCAGTAATTTGTAAAGAATGAAGGGTTTATGAGGAGTTTTCTAGACCCCACAACTGATTACTTGCATGTTGTAATTCCATAAGGATTGATGTTCGTGTAGGCAGAATTGCTCAGCTTTTTGTTGGGTAATTTACGTAAATCGTGTACGATAGTACACCTGGAAAGTCACATCGATATTGCCTAGTTGCCGTTCGATTGTTTCACGCAGAAGGATAACCAGAAAAAAGCTAAAGGCATTCCAATGACTCTCATCTTCTCTGTGAAACAACGAAATTCTATTTTCCCATACCTCTGGCACTATTTTGGTATTTCAAAATTGTTCCAAATGCACCCTTCAAAATTATCGTCTTCATTAAATAATAAAATAATTAGTAAAAAAAGATATCCCACTGGAAATTATTTTCTGCTGAAAATAAAAAAAAGTTAGTTTTATTCGTACTTACCAAGTTTGAATGCAACGCCATCTTGAATCTTTCAAAATAAAACCAGTTCCTCGCTTCCTGTGGGTCAAGATCATGGTAGAAATCTCGCGCTTCGAATCCAAATGAATGAAAAGCACCCTTGAAAAAAATATATAAATACAACATTTCTCCTGTCTAGTTAACTTCGGTCTAGTCTTTCAATGAATAAAGCGGACTAATTCTGAATAATAATGAAAACAAATAAACTGTATTAAAGAGTATTCGATATTGAAGCAATTCAAGTCAATAAATCTGAAACAAATAATTGGTTAGACATTCCCGAACCGGCGCTCCAGAAGTATGTGTACCAATATGGAGGTAACTAATTTTGTTCACCTACTTTACATCAAGTTGTGTAAAAGGAACGAAACCTATGGGGGTATATTCACTTGGCTAACACAAACAGTCACCGAAGTGGTAACAGAACTAAAATAGGGAAAATCGAAATAAAATTATGGCCTGACCCTAACCTGGTTCACATACTACGGAAGCACCCACGAACCAGACATGAACTGGTTACTGAACGAGACACCGTGGTTCGTCATGATTGTGTCGCCTTATCGGCTCTCCCCTCTTCCGTGATAAATATGATAATCTCATCTTTAATAAAAGACCTAAAATCTGCAAAACTATCGAACGAAGTATCGAAGTTCATTGAACCACGTGGACACGAAGTGATAAGCTCCTGGCTAATTATAACTCGTAATTGGGTACTCCCGTAGTATATGTACCAGTTTAGGGTTACTCCATAATTTAAAAAAATTTTATTCCGATTTTTCTTTTTTAGTTCTATTACGAGTTCGGGGGCTGTCTGTGTTAGCGAAGTGAATATACCCCCCTGCCCATAGGTTTCAGTTCCTTTACAGTTTACACAACTTGATGTAAAATAGGCGACCAAAATTAGTTACCTCCATATTGGTACACACACTTCTGGAACGCCATAATTGTGTACAAACAGATATTCAAAACCAATGACCTACTGAGTTTTGAAAGAACCGAGATGTTGCCAGTTTTGCATTAATAACTTAATATAATAACTTAAGTGGTATATATCTTAATGTTTTCAACACTGGGCAAGGTATTTGACCCCGGCCTCAACAAATTGTCTTTATGTAGAGACGCTATAAAAAAGTTACTTTTATCGCTGTACGCTCAATATACTCACTGATGGCTCCTGTAGAATAGTAAGTAAATTTCCAGAGAACTAAATGAAAGACTCAACACTGAGCAGTACAAGTAGTTTTAAACCTATAAAGGAGTCACTGAATAAAGAACCGAAATGTTTCTGGTTTGACATTGATAACCCCACTTACACTAGGCGTTTGGATTCTGAACCAGCATGAACACTTTTTCTCTATTTAGGAACACTGTAGATTATAGAAAGACACCGACTTGCAACGTTTACCACTCTAGGCGAAAATACTCACCGACGGTTTCAGTAGAATGGTAGTTGGAGTTTTCTGGTTGCTAATTCCTGGATCCCCACCTGACCATCTGCGCATCATATGGATTTGATCAGGACGATGCACAAAGCTGAATGCATAACCACTGAAACGAGATGATATAAAAGTTATGAATAGTTATGATTATGGGGTCGCAAATGCCATCTGAATGGCCTCCTTTGTAGAATGTTATTGAAATGCCATATAGACGACAGGTTTATATTTTCGCGAAGGTGGACTCAGCCAGAAGTGCAATATATCACATTAGATGATTTTCTAGCGAGACGCAACATGTGGAACTTTGAACCTATGAGATTGGAAATATGCAAAGAGGCAAATACCAGTATAATTATACGCTCTCACATACTACATTCCATATCTGAGGATATGAATACCGTTCGACTGAGAACGTGTTCGTATCTTAACATAACAAAATAATAATAATATACTGATCTTCTAAATATTAATTACATATCATAACCTTGGGTGCCGCTGCTAGATAACCAAATTTGGTTCCCCGTGGCTTCCCTTCCCCAGTAAAATTATGTTCTTGACTTTTTCGCAAATTTTGCATCGTATCTGTTTATTATTTTACTGGTTGAAAAAAAATAAACTTGATTATGACTATGGCTTCTGTTTATGTATTGTTTGGGGCACATATCAACAATCGCTTCCTACATATATCTTGGCCACTCTTTGACTTCATGTCGAATAATAAAATATCGATAGCTGGAACTCTTACGTATGCAAACCGCATTCTATTTTTTCGAATATTTGACTAAGATTCTCTATTTCCCTCCCCTTGACTAAGATCCCCTCGACTACCGCAAATATGAAAAAAAGGCTCTGGGTAAAATACTAGACTGCGACTTGGGACGCCTCACCACTTGCCTCTAATGATCGCAGACTGAGTTTTATAATATACGGAGATACAATCCGACTGTAGCATTTGATGATTTCAAGCTGCCACCGATGTCGTCTCGTTGGGCTTTAAATTTAGAGACTCGCAATATTGTAGTATGGTTTAATATAGGGTGTCCCAAAGTAAATGAAACCCACAAAATTGGTAATCGAATTGATGGGCTTCATTTATACAAAATCAAACGTCTATTGATAAGTCTATTTTCCACTTTACCTGTAAGTTGTTCCAAAATCCACCGCAACGACGACAAAGTGTTGAGGTCTTGGTGTCGATAGCGATGAAATACTGAAAACGAAATTTGAGTTGGAGAAATAGCAAACACCTTGTGTCAGAGTTTTTTTTCTCAATAACTTGAATTAGGTAAAATTTACCACATGTTAAATTGAACTGCTTCAATTACGGCGCCAAGCGATATTTAATCGCTCGTGGAAATAATAAATTTAAATTTTTATTGTGGTCTAGCTGGACCGCTAAAAGCATATTTTCATCGAAAAAACCAACACCGACCAAAACTTAACAAAGACTTTTAAACAGCTAATATTAAATCTTCTTTCAAATAAAAAAAAACATTTTCAAAAAACATCTACAAAAAGTTATCAGTATAGGTTACGAGAGACTAACTCCCAATTCTTCCTCAATGCCTTTGCGCTTGTAGATTCGTATGCATATAATGCGAGGGTGCTGTAGCATACGACTATATACTATGCAATTCAAGAGTCCTTCTGCACACTAACACAAATGTATATACCACTCCAATAATCTATTGAATTGCATAGTATAGTCTTATTTATTCCTGCTATAACATCATATATTTGTGTATATACATTTGTGTTAGTGTGTAGCAGTACTCTTGCATTGCATTATTACATTATACAAAAAGTACTAATATTATATTCGTGATCAAAATTATCTGAATGTAGCGATTTCATATTCGTTCAGGAAGATTCACGAAATTATATTCGCGAGTTATTATAGGTAAAAACTCACCCAGATGCTAGTGATGTTTCCGATCTGGCACTCAGCAGCTCTCCACTATCCTCTGACGTCATAACGCTGCTATATTCTGAACTTTGGCTTACACCACTTGCTGTAACAAATCAAACAGAAGTGGAGAAATTAGAAATGTGAGAAGTGAGGGGCTTCATTCCAGGAATATTGCTCTCATCCTTCACATAATTCAAATCAACTTTTAACTACAAATTAATGCACAAGCGACTTCATTATATGTCGATTCATTCATAATAAATTATAGTCAGTGTGCCATACTTTCTCTCTGGACAAAGCACTGCTCACATTGTCAATCAAATTATTTAAATGCGCCGATCTACTGACATTGGTTTTTAAGCGCCTTGAGCAGGATGGTCCAAACCCAGGCCCGCGGGCCTAATGTGGCCAGCCTCTCCATTATCTGTGGCCCGCGTCACATTCGGAGAGTAATCGAAAAATCGCATTTCGTGTTGTTTCGTCATAAAAGTAATAAGAAAAATCTTTTGACATATTGTTACATCACTAATATCAATTGACTAGTGTTATGGCTAGCTCAAGAAACTAGCGAAGTTGAATGATGTGCCTGGCAGTTTAAATTGTTATCTGGCTTTCTATCTTTTCGGTCGGGAATATATGTTAACAATATAGAAATCATAGAAAACTAAAAATGGAATGCGGAATTTATTAGCCTGGGTTGGCAATGCTTGATAACTATGTGTTTGCACAATAAAAATGTTTGTTTTGTATTGCACTGTTTACATATTCGTTGGCACTATTGTGACCCGCGAACAATGCAAAAATATTTTTGTGGCCCGCGGAGTCGACAACCTTGGACCACCCTGGCCTTGAGGGTCTAAAAACGGTTCAAGCTGCGAAAAATTGCTGTGTATGAAACCGAAAAATGCTTTTTTTACATTGCAAAAGGAAGGCGGGGGTGCTGGGGGTGGCTATCCGACCCGCAATTGGCTGTGCCCCCGAAGGCACTATGTAATTATTCAAATATTCGGATCTGCTGGGTTTAAGGTAAATTTTCATCTTTCTGTTCGCATTGACTTTAACTGCTTCGGTCTTACGACAATCGGCATTTTCTGTTGTACTATCATAATTTTTTATAGTTTCAGCACATCTTCGCACTTCAGTGTTCGCCAGTAAATTCCTTTACTTCTGATTGAGTGCAATCTTTCTTTGGGTGAATTTTCTCATAAATACGAGATTTGCTACGAGACCAAATTTTGTCTTGGACGTCTATACCCGCAGCTATATAAGACTTCGTCTAAAAACACCAATAACCCTGCTAAAACGCCTAAAAACAGTGAAAACCCGTCTAAAAACACCAAGAACCTTGCTAAAACGCTTAAAATCAGTGAAAACCGTCTAAAAACACCAATAATCTTGCTAAAACGCTTAAAAACAGTGAAAAACCGTCTGAAAAACACCAAGAACCCTGCTAAAACGCTTAAAAACAGTGAAAACCCGTCTAAAAACACTTATTCTTGCGACTGCTATTTGTAGTAGCACGTGCTTGAACCTGATATTACTAAACTTATTACTCCTCTGCGCGCAATCCTTCAAATGCTACAAATGAAGCCCAAATAAGTAAATGAGGAAGTATTCAAAATTAAACTTTTTTTGGTATTCCTGTTGAATTTTTTATAATTTCTTGTTTCTTCTGGTAATAAACGGACACAATTTCTTCCGCTGCCTAGCTGCATTAGATAAGCGAAACTGCGATGATCTGCCTTCAACCACTTGAAAGGGATTTTGATGACGTCACTAAACAATCGTGATCCATTTACACGTAATTGATAAAAGAGGAATGTTTGAATTACAGATTTTAACCCTTAGTTAACAACTAAACCGTTCAATTGAGGTGTGAATGTTTGTTGTAACAAAAGAGTTAATATTGTTAGTTAAACGCTGGAGTGACGAAAAACAGACTTCACAAGCTTGGATAATATTATTGTGCGCTATTTAAGAAAATTTTCGAGATTGAATAAGTAGTTTTAAATGTTATGATCTGACTTGTTTCCAACACTGAGAGCGCCCCAATCTTCAATATTATTTGACTGACATCTTTGTGGCAAAGCTAAACCTGTGTGTGAGGGCTCGGGACCTTGCTTTGAGCAAACTTGCAACTCTTCTTCTATAAGCACTTTTTCTACATTTAGTTGATGGCTTGGGTACTCGCTTTGTTTAAGCAAACTTGCAACTATTATATCAATGATATTTCCACTTTCAGTTAAGTTAACTACCCGTCAGTGTTATGAATTGGATTTTACTTTAAGTAGTTATTGATACATGTCAATTTAAGGTTAGCTACAAAAAACACTGCGTACTGCAGTTACAATATAAGTTTTTACTATATAGCGTGTCCATAAAGTCTTAAATTTTTTAAAATTTTATCGATACCCTATATATATAGTTTTGGCCCTCACAGATGTATTAAATGAAGTAAAAATACTCCAACAATTAATGATTAAAAAACAACAAACCTGGTTGAGACATATTGAGAACTGACTTCACAACAAAATTGAAATTGTAAAGGGACTTTATGGACACCCTGTATTTTCACACTGGTTACTGGTCAGTGAAGAGTTTGTATTTTGTTTGTACTAATTTCATTTACCCCTGATTGTAAATAATCATATCTTGCTCTCGGTGGCGATATAAAATTCGCAGACTTGCTGGTGTTAAAATGCTAGAAGTACCCGATTGAATATCAGGAATTTGCCCAACGAAAGGCCACACGCATTCACTAAGTAAAGGAGACGTTACGCGTGACCACCAGTGGAATACCAGGAGCTATATTCCAAGGGTGGGCAAGGGCCAAACATTTTGCCCACCTATACTGGCGGGTCATGTAAGTGTGTCGTAAAAAGTTACATTTTATGAACAATAGTTACATGGTTACAGAAACGAAATTGAAAAACAATAAGCCTCGTGCCGAAACTAAATTTAATCGCAATCTCAACGAAGTTCTTGAACTTTTTTGTCAACATAAAATACAACTTACACAATCTACGATCTTTAATCTAACGGGCCGGATTTATCCCGCAGGCCGTAGTTTGTCCATGTCATACTGATACTATGTAGGATCAATAATTACGTGACTCCCAATCTAAGTAAGACTTGACTTATTTACTTATTAGAATATTTGTTTTTAATGGTTTAGTAATGTCATTTTGCTACCCCGCCGGCCTTGTTAAATGCTGCAGATGTCGCTGTATTTTTGTTTTATATTTACTAAATTTACTACTAAAATGTTTGGCATCCTCATCGAAGGGAATTCAAAACGGGCATTATCGGGAAAAATTCGTTCTGATGACATTTTATAAATAAAATTTCTAATTTCATTTTTGTTGAATAATAATTTCAATTTGAAGTCAGATCTTGCCAATTATCTCAACAATAATTATTATTTCACTCTGACCATACTTGTGCGGATGGTAAACCAAAAATTAAAAGAGAACATTGTAAAGGGGGTATATAGTTACATCATAATAGGCGTCATGTTATTTGATCAGTGTTACGAAACAATAACTATTGTTCCTAATTTATATATTTACCGCCTTAAAGAAATCACAGACATTACATGACATATGCTTTGATTATTGGTCCTAACAAGTATACTTGGGTCATGATTTTTAAATATTTGCGCATTTAGTTGGAATTTATACACTATTTCACGGGTTCTAATAATCTCGATGAAAGAAAAATATACGCTTTTAAAGAGATAGACAAATATCACCCCAGCATTAGTTTTCTGGCCTGTTTTTATTGGCCAATGGAAATATTCACGCAATCTTAATATTCACCTCCTCGCCAAAACAACCAAACCAAAAAAATGTAATAAACTGTGTTTTGTCGTTAAGAATCCGTTTCTTTGAATTCCTTCAGCTTACTAAGTCGAGTGGCTGTTTTTATATAATTCTTGCCAAACCCGCGAGTTGAAAAAGAAACCGGATGAGCAGTCGCTGATACGTAGCAGCTGCTATGTTTTAAATAATGAGAGTTCAAAGCCGAAATCTCTGATCGGTGATATTTAATCAGAATGTTTTAACAGTAAAGGTTACAGATAAATATATGGTCCTAATTGCTATTTAAATGGCTTATTGGGCTCCATCAGCGGTGGGAAATTATTTTTCCGAGTGAGCCAGTTACAGATAATAGACTTGGTTACCGGGCCAGAGGCCAAAAACTCAATATGGAAAATTATAAATAACTAAAGTTTATTTACAACAGCTATAGGCTAATGTAAGCCTCATGTAACAATCACGGTCATTATGACATTATTTCAATTGTAATTTTCAACATAATTCTATATTCATAAAAGCTATAGTCGTAATTTCAGCAGACACAAGTTGGCCAGGTAATTTGCCCACCCCTGGGCTACACAATGAAACAATTCGTTGCTTGTGTAGAGCCCTGTCGAAACTACGCCGTGAGACTATTGGTAAAATAGAAAGTAATTCCATGTTACTTGTTCTGTTCTTTGTTCTTTCAAACATTTCATTCAAAAATCCACGGAAAGAGTTGTCTCTCACGGGTGACCTGACTTCAGGGCTCCTGAGAAATAAATACACTGGTAACACAAGTACGTTCAATGAGTTTTATCCACAGAATTAATAATAAGAAGCAGAAATCATGAATTGACTTAATAAATGTCTATAGAGCCACTAATTCAAAAATGTGAGATCTGAGAAAAACACCTCCAATCTTTTCCCCCACTCCAGTTTTGAGGATACTCCCGAAGTATGTAAACCAAGATGGCGGACCTCGGAGCAGTATAAGTATGAGTACCAGTATAAGGTTAGGCCATAATTCAGGTACAAATACTACGGGAATCACTTGGCTAGTCCTCGAACTCGTAATAGAACTAAAATAAAGAAAATTGAAATAAAATCATAACCTAACCCTAACCTGGTACACATACTACGTTCCGGTGTCCGCCATCTTGTTTCACATACTACGGGAGTAAGTTCTAAGTACTGCAGATTATTGCAGAGATTAGTTACCGTAAAGATGCTTCTTCTTGTTTCTGTTGTTTTTGCTTTTCATTTATTTTCTTAGATCTTACAGCTTTTCTTCTGACAAGAACTCCTGTGACGTCATCACTGTTCTGTCGACTATGACCTGATGACGTCGCATCGAAAGCATATTGGTGTTGATGATGAGGCGTCGGTAATATAGATTGATATATGTTTTCGTTTGTTGGTGTAACGTTTCGTGGAGTTGACTCTGGGAGAAATACAGTAAATGCGAATTAAACAATGTCTCATAACGCCACGCCTTTCATGTGTTGTCTAGACAAAAACACTCTAGAAGTATGTGTACCAATAAGATGTAACTAATTTGTTCGCCTATTTTACATCAAGTTGTGAAAAGTGATTGAAACCTATGGGCGGGGGTATATTCACTTGGCTAACACAGGCAAGGTGCTGAAGCATAACTATTCTATATTTAATTAAAGAGTCCTGCTGCACACTAACACAAAATCAGACAGGAGAGAGACATGAGGTCTGATTTTGATCAGACGAAACGCTCATCGCGGGTCACACACCATTCAAAATTAACACTTCTCCGCGGATCGCATAAGATTTCCTTGTAGGCGCATTTGACCCGCTGGCCGCAGGTTGCACATCCCTGAGCTAAACTCAATGCAAGACCACAAGCATACCTCTGTATATTAAAAAATAAATAAAAGGTGTTTGAAGTTTCTTTGCGTATTCACCCCGATATAGTGCTTTAGGTAGTTGCTCATTAAGAGTTGGTTGGTGAAAGAAAAGGGAGGTATTCTCCCCTCGAATAACTTGCTAATAAGCCCACCTACGTGTAAGAAAAAGAATTTGTAGACATGTCTTATTTTCAATATTCACATAGACAATCACAGGTTCATTTTTAACGAGGCCACACTGACGAACTCATATTTTGAGTAAAATAGGAAATTTTTTGGCGCGTGAATTCTCAACATTTTTCTTGTTTTCTTTTATTCTGGTTTTATAGCGTATATTTATAGCGAGAGTTTATAGCGTACGTAATAGAGTCCTAAATATACGTATCTCTATTCATAAACTATGCCTAATTCTGATAATTTCATAAGCTAACCTTTAGACACCGTTCAACGTGTCTTTCTAGAGATGTTAAATGATAAAAAGTTATCTAAAGTTGTTTCAACTTTTTCTCTAAAAATTTACCTTCTGTCTCTACATCACTAAATTCGTCATCTTCTTCGTCTTCATTTATGACGTCATGGTCTTCGTCATTTCCTCCAACAGCGACTGAGATTATTCGAGAATCTTCATCGCATCCGGGAGGTGCGGGGGCCGAAACAACAGCAAGAACGGAGTGGCTGAATTAACAGTTTTCAGAGTGTCGTCACAAATTAGTCAAAAGACTTCGTGTACACTTGTGGTTTGTCATGAAATATATAGAAATACAGCTACGATTACCTTGACTTTGATTTCTTTATTCCAAGTTCCGATGGCATTACGTCATCGCTCTTCATTGGTTTTCCTGACAATAAATCTTCTGGCATTCTTTCTTGTGACATTATCTCATTACGTGTACCACGTACTCCCCATTGACGAATCATTTTAGTTAAAATAAAATAATATATGTTTCGTTAAGCCTAGGAATTCCGTTCGCCGTCTTTTATTGAAAAAAAAAAAAAAACCTACCATTCACAAGCCTCCCCAGCAAACATGTAAGTATAAATAGGTAAGTATCGGTGGGTCGAAGTCGACCTTAAAAACAAAATATATGTTGTCCATAAGTCTTGAAATTTTTAAAATTGCAAAGAAAATTTTTCGATACAATATATTGTTTGGGTATTATATTTAACATTTTTTCCTCTGAATTGAGTTAAAACTATACAACAGAACTTCGTTGAGCAGAAAGTTTCAATGTTTTAAGGACAGTTTAATTTTAAGTTTTCGTGTTTATAGGTATTTATTGAAGAGCTGTCCCAGCGATTAATGTGCGACCACTAGAACTTAGTAACTTGCAGTTTTAGATGTGGACGCAGTCCTGTTTTGAGCAGCCATGAACATATCTATTTTGGTGGTGCCACAAATAACTTCAACTTGCAATTACACTACTAATCAATCGCTTGTTTATAGCCTTGTTTGGAGAAAATGAGAGAAAGGCCTCAGAAAATTCGACAATTTCACCCTTTTTAGTTGTTACTCGAGATATCTCAAGTTTGCAGCCTCCGTGTATAAAAGTCTATTTTGTAATAAATCTATTACCATCTAGTAATAGTGTGACAAAAACTGTTTACTTCACCTTAACATTTTTGAGAATTACTTGAGATATCTAAATCTTATAGTCATGTATTAAACATTTAAATTAGTAGCTGTAAAAACCATCTTCGTCTAACTCAGTGGTCTTCAAACGTTTTAAGCCGCGCCCCCGTTTTAGAATTTGTCATTGACGCGCTCCACCTCAACAATAGCCAACCAACATTAAGCTACAAATAACAGATAGCAGGGCGAAAGTATGTTTCATTCCAAAAATACGTGAATGGAACGTAAATAGCCAAAATAAAGAAATGTAATTATCCAAAATAAACAGCGGGCAAGATCAAACCAAAGCAATATTTTTATTTTTAATTAGCCACACGCTCCCTCAAAAAATGTCTACGCCCCCTTTGTCCTTCCAATTCTGTTTTTGAAAATTGCTTCTTGACTGCATAAGTAACAACATATACTACGACATACATACAAAATATTCAGTCATTCTGTCTCTCCGCGTCGCATTGGAATTTCAACCTTTTGTCTAATGAAGCCATTATAATCAGTTCTATGAATAGAAGAAATGTTTCCACCAATCATATCAAATTTCAAGCAAACTATCTGCATTGTTTGTAGACTGTATGAAAAGAGATTTGCAGTACTGGAATTCAGAAGTAATTTGAACCAAAATTTTTGCTCAGCTGATAAAGGATGGTGTATTATGAAAATGCAGATTAAAAAATATGTATTCGTGACTCGCTTTTTTGAGTGATTGTTAGTCCGTTATATGAAAAAGCTCCGCCTGGACTGGGTATTTCAACAGGTTAGTTTTATTGAACAATCTGATATGAATTACACATGTTTCATTGATTAAGGAGCTACTATGTCACCGTAGTTACTTATCGATTTTAATCGGTAAGTATGTTGATAGGTATTTGTCTGTTTGTCTGTCTGTTAGATACACGCGATATCTCACGAAAGCGAGTGAATCTGCTCCAGATTTTGCATGCGCATTCATCTAACTTTCAATCGATAAGTCTTCGGTCTCTGACCGATATTCTCGTTGATATATAAATGTCTAAGAAAGTAAAGTTAGACTAACACAGAAATTTAGTTTTATTGTGTGTTTACAGCTTCAAACAAGGCTCTGGGCAAGTAGCAAATTATATTTAGATCTTAGCCGTCTTCGCAAGGATACACCTATACATATATGTATAGCTCCAACGCGTGAGCGTTTTATTGTATCAGTATTCTGCTATCAGTACTATTTCTTTTTTTGATTGGGAAATCGAACTTGATCTGAGCCATGGGTGTGCAACGTTATTGCAACGTCGGTGGGTCATACAACTAACTTCAGACGTCTAGCTGGGGTCACACAAAAATGCGGGATACAGCTATCGCTCTGACTAAAAGTGATAAATGCACCTGACGAAACGACGAAAGATTCAACGCAGTGACCAGAGCACAAAAACATGTATTTTACCCATGTGAGCGCCTTAAACATAAACTGTCGGATTAGGATTTTATGCTTCCTGGGGAAAAATTTGAGTGTTTCCAATGGCTCTAATAAAAGGCCGGGTGCCGGGTTGTGGCCTGCGGGCGCTTGTTGAACACCCTTGTTCTAGGCAATACCAATATTAAACAATTGAAAATGAAGAGTAAATTTTATTTTCAAACTTTGGCATGGCCCAGGCAAGCTTATCATAACTTGGTCAGCAGTCGGGTATTTAATTTGAATCCCAGTTATCCATTTTTTAATTTATTGAAAAATGAATACACTTCGGTTGACTTCTGATATTTGAATGTGTAATTTTATGGATTTTCTTAGAGTTCGGCTTTAGTTTTTCTATAAAAGTTTCTGTCAACAAAAATGGAGCGCACTTATGACTCCCGCCCGCACACCCGTTCAGGAATCGAACCTGATTTCAGTGTAAGCGCAAGGTGGTTCACGTAACCGCCGGTCGGATACGGCCTACTCGGTATTCATGTAGTATGCGAACAAAGATGGCGGACACCGGAATGTGGTATGTTTACCAGGTTAGGGTATCTTCCTTATTTTAGTTCTATGTACTCGCCAAGGATCTCCCGTAGTATTTGTACCTGGAATTATGGCCTAACCCTAACCCTAACACATACTACATTCCAATGTCCGCCATCTTGGTTCGCATACTACAGGAGTCCATGCATCAAGTCCATGCATCTGAAATCAAATAAATGACTAACTATTTCCACGCATGGTATGGTAACCCGACGTTAGACCGTGGTTTGCATTCCCATTAGGTCGTCTTATCGGCTTTCTTTACCCCGGGATAAATATGTAAATCATATTCTATCTTATTTGACTTTTAATTTATGAATTCTCATGTATCAACATCTATTATTTGTTTATTCTCCCAATCCTAATATTGTTTTGTAGACCTCTTATTGACAGTATTCGTGTAATTCACCGTGAAACAATTTCACAAATCCAGTCTCACGAGAGAAGGTCTCACGACAAACGTAATATGATTAAGTGTTTGTATCAGATGTTTTATGGCATCTCGTTGAATATTCATGAGATTCAAAGCTGTCCTTTATAATGCTAGACGACCACATAAAAAGGGTAACGTGAACCGCAGCTGACACCAGCGGTATAATTGGCGTTTCGAAAGTTATGTGTTGGGTTTATTGGTTTCATTACATTTGAACCCACGTACATTTGAACCCACGACAATTGCACCTGCATACTATTGCACATATGGAATTTTTATTTACGGATATTTGAACCCATACTAACCCTAACCCATGGATTTTAGCACTTGCATATAGATTGAATCCGCGGGTATACGGGTGCAAATGTATGGGTTCAAATGTACGTGTGTTCAAATGTGCTGTCACCGATTTATTCAAAGCGTGTCATATTAATGAAGCTCACGTGGGGACAAACATATATTCACCCAAACGAGGGAACCTGCCGTTAGTGAGTTTGACACAAAAGAGAACCTGTTCTTCTCTTGTTTGTGATATTAGCGAACCCGTTCTATAAATGTCGTGATATTAGTGAACTCGTTCTTGAAATACCGTGGTATTAGCGAACCTGTTCTTGAAATATTGTGATATCAGCGAATCCGTTCTTGGAATCGCGTGATATTATCGAACTCATTCTTGAAATCTCGTGATATAAGCGAACTCGTTCTTGAAATATCGTGATATTACGGCCAAATCACTCACAAAATAAATATTAAAATTTTGCAATAATTAAGTATAGGGGGTATTGTTCCAGGGTCAAAGGTCGGGGAAACATCCACAGAAATGAATTAAATTAATTCTTAAATTGAATCTCAAGTGATTCTTTTATTTTCTTGCAATGATTAGGCAACTTAAAAGGTTTCAAGAGAAATAATAACTGAAAAGAACCGACTAAACGGTGGAAGTATTTAACATAATTACGATATAAATCAGGAGAAAATAGTAATCACCTTTCAAGCGGAGCGGTACATAACTTAAATAAATAAATTCTGATTGGACGGAGCCATCACGCGGACATTAATTTAGATATAATCTCATTTGATGATGGCACTAAGTGCCGCAGGGTAAGTTCACAGTTCATGAAACAAGGTGTTGGTTAAAAATATCATTACTTTGTTGCTGTATTGTACACCACTGACAAAGTACGAAGAACTGCTTGAGAAACGCATGTGAGACTACACGATGTCCAGCAAATCTCAACGCACAATGTAGAACATCATGCAATGGTTGCCGAGCTCACTTTTACGATTTTAATCAGGAGGTTATCGGAAATTGTAAGTATATACCTAATACATATAATAAGCTTGTGACCGGATTTTTACGGTCGTGTTTTACGAAAAAGCGATATAACATGCAACTTCAGGTGGCGTATGGCTCTGAACTTAATAGAATATAGTAGGCAAATCAGCAACCAATAGTGTCTGTGGCAACCCTTGATATTTCATATCTTCTATTGCTCATGAGAAACTTGGTCTAAAGGCAATATATTTTTATCGCGAAGTTTTATTGTTGGTTTGGCCTGTAACTTGTTTTAAGTTCTACTTGTTCAAAGTATGAGTATAAAGTATGTGATACAGCCATCTAGAATCGTTGTGTAACTCGTTTGCTGTTTTTAATTTTTCTACCTTCCACAGACTTTCAAGACAGTAATCTTTTTAAAAAATGATTTTTAAAATTCAGTATTGTTAAATATTGAATATTATAAAACAAGTATTTTATTAATAATATTTAACCTCAATTTGTTTATTTAATTCAGGCAAATGTACACGTGGTTATGTCGAGCCAAACTGTTATCAACAGCAATGTGAAAACTATAGATGCATCACAAATAGTCAGCAGATATCTCACTACTATGCCAGTCAATACTACAACCCCAACATACTATGTCGTATGAGCAGCTGTGGTGGATGCTTTCCCCAATTCTACGATAGACGTGGACGAAGAATCAATTGCAGACAAATATTGCAATATTTATCAAATCCAGGAATTCCAGGTAGTAATATTGTGACAGGTTTAATTAAAACTGAATGATATAATATATCTGTTGATCAATTTTTGTATTTGAATATCCATATTGGATGACCAATGCCGAATAGTCAAAATTTTCCTATATTAAACCATCTCAAATACAGATGAAAATTTTAGATGCGGTCCCACATCTTTTATTACTTCTGATATCGCGGAAGCGTTGTATTAAACAACTTTAGTAAAATAGCATATGTGAAAAACAAGTAATAACTTCACAGTGGCTGAAAAAACATTTTACTATAATTTTACTTGATCATACTTTCAGTGGCAAATCTACCAATAGCCGGATGAGTACTGAAGACTATCGAAGACAGACCTTGACACAACAACAACATAGTAATCCCAAACAAAACTTACCTGATTTAGGCCTGTTATCCGTGTTTACAAAATATAAGGACAAAGACTTGAAGCATTATTCAAACTTTTCCAAGCTGATATAAATACATGCCCAAGGACATTCACAATCATGAGAATTTGGTCTCCGTGTGGTCAAGTGAACAATAAATTAACTTTTTATGGCCGTGGAATTGTGGTGGAATACCAAAAATGATTTTTGGATACTCCCGTATAATGTAAACCAAGATGGCGGACAACAGAACGTAGTATGTGTACCAGGTAGGGCCATAATCTCAAGTACAAATTCTACGGGAGTCACTTGGCTAGTCGCCGAACTCGTAATAGAACTAAAATAGGGAAAATTGGAATCAAATTCAGGCTTAACCCTAACCTGGTACACATACTACGTTCCGCTGTCCGCCATCTTGGTTCACATTCTACTGGAGCGCCGATTTTTGTCGTTTTACCTTCAGCCACATCTCTAGTTACCACATCCACAACGTCATTTATACTGTTTATTTATGCCATTTCCATCGTGAAATATATATTTAAATGACAAAGATCGAAGGCATATTTGGGTTGTTTATTTCGCATTTGAAGTCACGTCAAATCAAGTCAAGTTATAAAAAAAAAAAAATAGAACACACAAAATACGAAAAAAATGAAAATTACACAGTTTTACTGTGAAGGGATTTGTTATAATAATAAAATACCTATATACTTTGCGCGGGCACTTCTTTTCCAAATTTTGCCAGCATATAGAAAACAAAACAAAAAAACGACATGCGAGATTTCCGTTCAACAATTTTGGAGAGCTATACTTGTTGGACGTCATAGGTTCACAGTGACAAAGGGTTTCCATATATTCTCCATGACTACTTTGCCCGTTGTACTTTAGTATTTTGACGAAATTTTTTTGACGAAACTCTTGACGAAAAAACGAAACTTGTTTTCAATCTTTTTGTAGTAATGTTTTTATTTTCAATTTAAATATATCAAATGTACAAAAATGAATGAGTATTCCGTTAAAATACATATTCAGAACTATTTTCGCACAATAACACGATGACTTTACCGATGTAAGTTTCGGTTTCTAACGATGTTTTCAATGTTTTAATCAATGGCAAACGGAATCGTAACATTTCGTGAACACTGTAATAAATCTAGTAAAATTACCCAAATTATTTGCTTTTATGAATAAGGAAACCCTGCACAGAATTGACAATTTTACTCATTTCTAGAGGATAAAATTTTTGCAAGGCGGTTATTTCGGCGCTCCAGTAGTATACGTACAAATTTGGAGGTAACTAATTTCGCTCGCCTACTTTACATCAAGTTATGAGAATGAACTGAAGACTATGGGCAGGGGGTATATTCACTTAATACATTCCTCGAACTCGTAATAGAACTAAAATAAGGAAAATGGGAATCAAATAATGGTCTAAACCTAACCTGATACACATACTATATGATTACCTTATTTCACTATTGCTTAAACGATCTTCTATAACAGCCGCTATTGTGGTATATTTATTTATTTTTTTCGAGTAAGGAGACATTATTCCAAAAATAACTGATTTAACGATTTTTTTAACAGTTTCCGTCCGACCCGTTCATTTGTCATTTGTTATGTTTCACGTTTTCCCGAAATAGCAATCAGATTTCAATCAACATAAAATATGCATAAGTTGCGATTAGTTCGACTTGTTTTGTGGTTTTCGGCGCTGAAGTCCGAAAAATTAGTGGTTTTTGGAATTCAGTGAGATTAAGTATTGCTCGGATTAAACTGTCTATTCTATTCTGTGTTTCAAGTTCCCCGCCAGATTATTTGTCCGACAAAAATTGTGGAACTTTTTTAAAATTTGAAGATTGATGAGCTTAGTAAAAAGATTAAGATAAAAAGTCGATTTGACTATTATTTTTCCTGTAGATTTGCACAGTATTTGTAGACGTATGACACACTGTCTATCTTGCTTTTCATGTTTCTTGTCTCGCCAGAATGTGGGCAAGAGATTAAGAGAGAGTGAAAAGTACGAGAGAGTGCGAACGAAATTAAGAGCAGAGTAAAAAGTTCATCGTTGTCAGACAAAAATAGTACAACTCTTTTGAATTTGAAATTTTGATTTAAATGAATATTAAACGATATAAAGCGTCGAACATTTCAGTATTTTGCTGTAACTTTGTAGGAGTTCTTTGAAACCCGTGTCGTGCATGGATGAAAAAAAATGCCAATTTAGAGAAGGAACTCCTGTGGTGTATGGACCAAGTTAGAGTCAGGCCATAATTCTATTCCGATTTTATTTATTTTAGTTCTATTACGAGTTCCTGGACTGTTCGTGTTAGCCAAGTGAATATACTTCCTGCCCATGGTTTTTTAGTCCCTTTAGACAACTTGATGTAAAGTAGGCGAACAAAATTAGTTACTTCCACATTGGTACACATACTTCTGGAGCGCCCAATTTATAACATTGTTAATTTAAAAGAGACGAACATTTTATTAGTTTATTTTCACTAATGTCCAATCAACACAAGGAATTTTATTGCAAAGTTTTCCGCTTTTCTCTTCAGATGAGGCAATCGTCTTTGCAATCGTCTACTGATACGATGAATATTGAAATGCTATTCAAGTGAACGAACCCTGCCCATAGGTTTCAGTCCCTTTACACAACTTGATGTAAAGTAGGCGAACAAAATTAGTTACCTCCATATTGGTAGACACACTTCTGGAGCGCCCAAATTAATATATCCGTACACAATTAGGCCGGTCCATCTTTTTAACAGGTCATCCCAATGCAATTTGTGTCTATTTTGACCGCATGAAAACATTTTAAATATCGTTTCCAATCCGCTTTCTAAAATTTCAAAAGTAAATCCCACAATGAGGCGATCAATTTCTATGTGTGACGTCAAACTGTACCCCAAAGGGCATTTTACAAAGTCGTAAAATAAGCGTTAAGACCTCATTAATATTAAAATGTATGTTGCTATTCGTGTATCGTGCTATTTGGGATCAAAAGATAAGCTCTAGGGATTAGGAGTCTTTGAGTGAACATATATTTACATCATAGACGCATCCGTGGCTAGCTTTTCGTGCAATTTTTTTTTGTGGAATGTACAAGCATTTGCTTCGGACAAAGCAACGGAAATGTGTTAAAAAAGTCAGAAAAACGAACTTTAATTTTTTGTGTTATTGTTTGGTAGGATTACAAGTTTTCAAGTTTAGTTTTTAGAATTACATCTAGGCTGTGGCCTTGGTGGTTTGCAATCTTTTGCGAACTAAATTAGTTACCTCCATATTGATACACACACTTCTGTAGCGCCATAATAAAGCACTTAAAAATATAATGTTAGTTATACTCCAACGAATACAAAATTCTTATCCAAAAACTGCTAAATTCCATCCCAGGGACGAATCCTCGGTTGGAAAACGTTGGTTTATCTCCAAACCGTACAAATCGCTAGGAATCAATAAAAAATATTAGTAATACCACAGCGAATACAATATCCATTCTAAAAAGGGAAATCGAAGGGCTAGGAACGGATTCCTCTTGATTGAAAAACAGTGGTTAATCTCCGAACAGAACAAATTGTGCGCGAGAGAGAGAAACTCTCCCAACTTATCTCAATCTGTTCAATGTTCCCTCTTGTGTGTTTTGATTTCCCTGAGGCCTAGTTTTAAGTGTTTTCTACTTTGCAAGATCTGGATCGATTAAAGAGATCAAAACATATCTTGTTAAAAAAAATTGATTGTATTTACTGTTATTCATGTGTAATTCACTTTGTGTTTAACATAGGATCGGGTGAAGATTTTGAAAAGAGCGCGATTAATCAGCTCACCATGCGTGGTCCAAATATAATTGATGAAAATTCCAGCGGTTAAAATTTCTATCAAAATGAAATGAATTTGCAACATTTTTAATAGTGATTATTAAAAACTTAGGAAAAAGGTTTCTTCGTTGTAACCCTCGCCCTGGGATAAGAAGACAGTACAGGTTTTGGGTAGAGGGTGGAGGATTTCAACACAGGCGTGTCTTCAGAATATTTACTTTTCGGTTTTAAAATGTTAATTTAGTTTTTGCCTAGCGAAACTGACCAGTGTGCTTGATACGTGCGGAAGTATTAGTCCGTGTGTTTATTTTTGTTCTCTTCAAACTAGAATCTAGGCTGGATGTGCATGGATTTCCCTTCTCTTGTTGCAACGGTTACGGGAACTGCGAAAATACGAGAACTATTCAAGTTACTTTGCTATATGTCATGGCAAATCTTCACTATAAATCCCTCCGCAATATATGACTGCCATATTAAGATATTAACAGCAGGTTCAAGTTCTAGAGCAGCAAATATAAAAAGGTAGATGATATCGATGTGGTATTCCTGATCAGATATTCAGATAAGTTTTTCTGTTAGTTATTCGATCAAGACTTTATAAAAGACGCGATTTTATAGAACAATCGTGCAGTGCAGACGTACCGGTATATAGATATCGGTAAGTTTGAAAAATCAGCAGAAATGGGCGTTATTAGAAGTACAATTTCAACAAATTTAATTCTCTGTTTAAACAATGTCCAATAATATGGGACTGCAGAGTGATCGGTGCGTTTTTACCAGTTATTCGCCACGAATCTTCAGAATGATCGATTTAAATTTTCACAACAAACGTTTAGAGTAGTGGTTCTCAAACGCTGGGACTCGCTTCACAAGGTGGACGTGGTGGACGTGCACAATAGAGTAGGCGTGAAGTTAATTAAAAATAAAATAAATTTTTGATCTTGATTTGATCTTGCCCGCCTTACTTTGAATATTTACATTTTATATTTTCAGTTATTTGTAGCTTATTGTTAGCTAGTTATTTTTGAGGTGGGGCGCGAAACTTGACAAATTCTAAAAAAGGCCTAAATAGTTTGAGAACCACTGCTGTAGATTATAGATATAACGTGCTATCGGAAAGATCGATAATTTCGGGAAAGGAAACAAAAACCGTCGGCGTAATAAACTAAAAACTCGTCAATAACTGTTAAGCATGTTACAATATTTTATACTCTTTATTGAGGTATGATGTTGTGAACAGGCTAGGGCTAACTTGATTTCAGGTTTGTGTGCCTGATTCCCGAAATTCTATTTATGGGAGCCACAACATAATCAAGTGAATACCATTCTTTCTTGGCATATGTCTAAACCTTCTACGGTAATTATGCAAAGACTCGGAATGAGATTTTGAAAAATTGAAGCTCTGTCTGAGCCGGTACGGGAAGCCAAGACGCGATTCGTATTCAGACCTGGGGTCTTAAGAATCAATACGAGATCCCAATTTATCAAACTAAATTGTATTCGTTTGACAAGATCTTCGTTCCACAACAAGGTCCCGGGCTGTCTCCCTCGGTTTAGACCAGTGGTTCTCAACCTTTTCTTAGCGTCAGAGCCAAATTTTAAACCTTAAGTTTGTAAGGAGCCGCATAAAAAACAACGCAAAATGAAATAGCAACAAAACAAAACTGGTTTAGGCTAAACATAGCATTTAAATTTTAAAGCTTACATTATTGCTCAATTTTTTGTATATTTGAA